TTTCTGCTACCTGATTCTCTGATTTCCTTTGCCAGTTCCTCCTCAATGTGACCTCTAAGGGTTGGAGTATTACTGTACTTAGGCCTCAGAACTTCTTCATACTCATTCTTTAGTCATGGAGCTGTAAATTTTAGGTAGCATCTATTAAGTGATTAATAGTCTTAAATTTATACAAAAACCCAGACTCTTAAATTCTTGAATTCTTGATATGTGTATCCAGTTACCACACATTTCTCTAAGATGATGTTTAAAGTAGACATTCCTTGCTTAGTTTGTACAGATCCCTCCTTTCTCTCCAGGCATTTATTATGACAGTCTGACTTTTAAAAGAATCATAGTAAATATTTGCTAAATGAATAAGTGATCATAGTTACAACCTGCGCAGTTGATCTTCATGGAGGAAATTTTCTCAAATGTGAGTTGGACCATGGCCTACTAAATTGATTTTGTTTGCACTACTACTCTATCAAACAGGATAAAAGAAGAGAGTGCAATCCTTTGTTCCCAGCAAAATTGCTTATATGATTTCTCTAATTAAACCTAAAGTTCATTCTTTTAAAGAAGAAACATGAATAAATTGGCAATGTAGGAATCATGAGAGCAGGTAGAAGGAGAGGGAGAGGAAGAGGGGGGAGCAGAGAAAAATACATAGTTCAAAAAAAACAATAAAACAAGAAACTTGAAAACCGAATCTCTGGTATCTAGACTTTGTAAACTAAGTTTCTGCCAATGTGGCGTGTAGCCTGAATGTGGTTGTTTCTTTATTGATGGTAGAAGCAATCTTTAACTCTCTTGGTCCAAACCCTATCTAGGTCCACTGAAAGGTGTAATGTTAGCATTAAATTCTTGTTCCTGTATTTCCTATAATTTTCAATTTTCCAGTTGACTGTGTACATGCTCCCAGAGTTACAGGAATGCATCCACTCAATATGTTGGAGACTAAACAAATTAGTAATGTGGATTTTTATTTAAAGGATGAGTTAGGAAGCAAAATGAAAGCTGACTCCTTTGGGACTTTTCAGGTAAGTAGCAGAATTAGGAAAGGAAGGGAGACTGTTCCCCTTGCTGTCTTTGTACCTATTTGTCTTTCACTTACTTCAAGATCTTCTTTTCAGTAGCAAACCTTTTGGAAGTCCACATGAAAACAATGACTTCTGATTGGTAGTGCTGCTGTTAACAAAGGTTACTAAACGTAAATATCTACAAATTAAAGCGAATGTGCCAGTCTTTGATGACTCCCCATGGGAGGCCTTATACTTTCTGAGGAGTGAATGGGGTGGGTTGGGGGGGGAATGGGGAGCAAGAGGGGATGGAGAGGGAACTATGATTGGTATGTAAAACAAATTAAAGAAAACAACTTTCCAACTACAACAACAACAACAAATCACCAGGAGAGGCATGGATGCATGACAGCAGCTTCTGCTTCTTAACCCTCTCTTGACCAAAAATTACTTTTATAAATTACTTTTATAAAAACTCACAGCTGGGAAGAATAATTTAGCACACAGTTACATAAATTCCAGTTTTAAAGATCGAAAATGAAAGATAATTCATAGACTAACGAAAAAAAGGCGAAAAACAAAAAGCTAACAACTAAGTAATAGTACAATTTGGCTAACTAGGTTTTTATATTGTTTTCATAGTGAGTGCATCTCTGTGTGTGTGTGTGTGTGTGTGTGTGTGTGTGTCTGTCTGTCTGTCTGTCTGTCTGTCTGTCTGTCCATGGCTCTGTGTGTGTGTGGTGTGCAGATGTGATTGGTTTGTGTACTTCCACTGATTTCCCCTCAACACCAATGCTGTCCTCAGCATCACATGTAATTTAGAATAACACAGGATGAAAAGAAGGATCTCTGTATTTTCAGAGAGGAATATTCCCAAAGAACATCAACAGGCTTCTCTTCTGGGCTCTATCCCCAGAATTGATTTTCATGCCCAGGCGGAATATGCAAAGGAGACATTAAACTAAGTCTGGCATTTAAAAGCTCTCCAGTAAGAGGCAACTTCTGCCAGCAAGAATCAAGTGTAGTAAACTAGTTTGGCAAATAAATGTCTGTGTGGTTTTACAGCATCACATGAATGCACCACGCTTGATCTCTTTCTCAGCTGCTGGCCGTTTATGCAATTTCTAGTCCATTGTGAACATCTCCCTTGTCCCAAATATGCAAGAGTTTCTCTATAACATACAGCATGTACCCAACAATTAATATCTTATTGGTGGGATCAAATTGCTTTTGAGTGTATAACTATAATTTATATTCCTTCCAACTGAAGTTGCTATTACCAAAATTGTCTACTTTGTTTTGGGAATGGGAAGGTTAAAAAGTGTTCTTTTTTGAAATATTCTTGGTTATATTGGTTGCCTTCTGTTAACTGAACATTCTTTTTAATTTTCCCATTTTGGGTATTTTACAAAATGTGTATGTGCACACAAGCACACATATATCAAAAAAAGAGATTAGTTTTCTAATGAGAGAAAGAGAGAAAGCAAGAAAGGGTGTGGGTTTGTGGGAGGTATGGAGGATCTAGGAGGAGTTGAAGGAGGTGAAACCATAATCAAAATATATTATAAAAAAAATCACAATTTTTGATTAAAAAAGAGGTTAGTGCCTAGGACTGCGTGAGTCTTGTTTAACAATAGCAAATTCCACAACTGAGTAAAATAATTATACAATACTTACAAATAAGTAACATTAAGTTGCATAAGATGAGACTAGGTTGTACCCTGGGAAACCAGGAGGGACAGCTACAAAACCCCTAGCTGTGTATATTATATTTCTCATAAGGAAAGAGAAGAAACAATTAGGAATCAATCTTGTGGGTCACTGCTGTGTCTAAGAAGTGGAAACAGAACCAGAATGAGCATGCAGTCTGGAGATCTTGCATTCCCATCCATGAACTTCGGAGGCAAGAAAGCTCAATAGGTAGAGGTAAGCTTGACCAACTAAGTTTGATGCACAGAATCCCCATGGTAAACAGAGAAAATCTTGATTCCCACAAATCGCCCTCTGACCTCTCTACATGTAAGTTGTGGCATGAGTGCTATACACACAGACATAGACACACACACTGAGCCCTGCCAATTTGTCAGCATTGGATAATGGATAACAATTCTCGGGGATATGGGAAAAGGATACAGATGGGTGCTACAGGAGAAAGAGAGCAAGCCTGAGTTGGTATCACTACAGCAGAGTGAAGAGAGGCGCCCACACAACACAAGAGCCAGTTTTCGAAGTTTGAATTCCAGAGAATATCAACTCGTCCTGTGTCTCAGTCAAACTCTTCCAAAGGGAATATCTTGGAAATTTAGTCTTCACAGCCACATAACAGACATGCCTGTGAGGGAACAGAGTATCAGGTGTTGCTTCACATGAAGGATAGCTATAAAATTTCGGTTTGGACAGAGATTCATTTCTGGTTAAACTCTTGTAGCTATCATCAGTCCTAAAGGCTATGACATGATGTCGCAAACTGAGCAACTTCTGAGAGAGAGACATACAACATCACAATCTTTCTAAGGTCACTGTGTGTAGGAAGGAGCATGCTCAGCAGACCAGTAGATAAAACAGATGTCATTGTTGACGTGGTATATTTCTCTAAAAGCACTTCATATTCTCTCTCCTCTTATGTGTGTGGGAAGGCTATATCTCAATTAATCCCTCCTTTAATTACAAGCTCTCGTTTCATTGTTTCATTTCTTACTTTTGTATTTTATTGAACATGCAAAGGAGATGTTTTCTAATTTTAATTCTATGTGCTGCTGTAAGTTTTGAAAAATTATTGCTTTCCTTTGCACCATTGAGCTCAGTGGACTTTGAAGGTTTATGTGAAACAATTCTAAGTTTCATGTTAGACTACTTCTGCTTTGTCATTCTTAAATAATTAAATGAATATCCAGGTTTGGAATTTATAGAGCCAACAACTTTCACTTCTTCCTCTCACTAGTTACCAATTACTAGAATCTGGCTCATTTTTGAAGCCACTAATTAAATAGTTGGTTTCTATTTGGAGAATTGTCTAGTACCAAGGGAAAATGTATTCCTTCTCAAGCTTTCTTGTATAACTGTAAAAGAATGTCATACATATTTAGAGGTGATATGTTTTACTAGTATTTTGATGGTTCTTTTCCAATTCATCTGGGGAAAGGGACCTAAAGGACCTAGCCAAGAAAGGAGAGACAAAAGTGATATTAATGAAACAAGAACAATTTCCAAAACTATGTAAGATGTGTACTGAAGGCATTAGAACTAGTAGAAGAGTAAAAACAAGAATACTTCATCTCCATTGGCAGGTCAAAGAGGAATGAGTGATGGCTTCCCTGCAATGTCATCTCTGAGTTGGGACATTCAGTAGACAGTTTTGAGATTGACTTTCAACAGATGGGGACACTGAAGGGCCCTAACTTCTAGTAATTATGAGTGGGATTTCAGGTACCCTTTTTGTTTCTCCTCACATTTTGTTGTTAGTGTTCACATCCCCAGCTGTTGAAGGTGCTGGAAAGACAGAGACTCTGAGGATTCCACTAATATGGCTTTTGACCGAATGAAAACATTATCCAGGACATCAATGCACGATAAAGGATTCATCTTTTCTACTGCTCAAGTTTTACATTCATAAATTTTAAAGACATCATTTAAAGAAGATGGAAAGATCAACAAAGAGTACCTTGAGCAGATAAAGTGGTAAAAGAGAAAAAAACAGCATGGGTATGTAATAGATTTCTCTTTATAAACATAATCAAATCATCTTAGGGTCAAGAATCCACAACCAAATAATATTTTCATGCATTTCTATGTAAATTCAACCCAACATGCAAACCAAGACAAATCCTGTACATAGGGAAATGACTAGGTCAAAAGAGACTTCAGAGAATTTGCATCCATAAGGAGGTGTTCACTTATACCAAGAGAGTGAGAAGACGAGTGGGAAGCCCTTGTTGCAGATTTGGAAATTGGTACAGAACTTCTGAGTCACTGTCCAGGAAGATCCTTCAGAATAGAAGCATGGTGCCGAATCAAGTCACTACCTTCTCCATCGTCATGTATGTGCTTGAGTCCTTGATAATACTTATACAAAGTGGTACAACTGTTGTAGTGCTGTGCAGAGAGTGGATGAACTTTCAAAGACTGTCACCGGTGGAAATGATTCTCATTAGCCTGGGCATCTCACATTTCTGTCTCCAGTGGGCATCAATGCTGTACAACTTTGGCACCATTTCTAGACCTGCCCTTGTATTTTGGAAGATTTCTGTCATCTGGGAGTTTATGAACTTTTTGACATTCTGGCTAACCAGTTTGCTCTCCGTCTTCTACTGTGCCAAGGTCTCTTCCTTCACCCACCCCATCTTCCACTGGCTGAGGTGGAAAATTTTGGAATTGGTTCCCTGGTTGATATTGGGTACGCTGATAGCTTCTTGTTTGTCAATCATCCCTTCCGTTGTTAAATATCACATTCAGATTGAATTAATTACCCTGGATCATTTACCTAGAAACAGTTCTTTGATTATAAGACTTAAAATGTTTGAACAATATTTTTCTAATCCTCTCAAAATGATTGGTTTCGGTGCGCCCTTCCTCGTGTTCCTGGTTTCTATTATCTTACTCACCGTCTCTCTTGTCCGGCACTGGGAGCAGATGAAAGAGTTTAACACCAACGACTCCAGCATGAAAGCTCAGTCCACTGTTCTGAAGTCTCTTGCTACCTTCTTCATCTTCTTCACCTCCTATTTTCTGACTATAGTAGTCTCCTTTATTGGCACCGTATTTGATAAGCAATCCTGGTTCTGGGTCTGTGAAGCTGTCATCTATGGCTTAGTCTGTATTCATTATACTTCACTGATGATGAGCAATCCTACACTGAAAAAAGTACTGTCGATGCAGTTCTGCAGAGCAGAACCTTTCTGAGGCATGAAATACAGTAAAGACTCTAGGGTAAGAAACCTTTGCTTTGGCGCGATCCTTATCTGATAATGAAATGCCTTTCATGCAAGCTTCATTCGCTATCATATCCACAGATGCTTGAATCTGTAAATCCTCACCTGTTTTGCCTGTATTCTGACTCACTCCTTTCCTGTCCTAGTCATACTCCTGGGTTCGTTTTGACTTTTCTCCTGATTACCCTGTCTCCCCTTAGTTTTTGCCATCTTTGAAATATTAAAGATGGGATGTTCTATATATTACAGTCAATATCATTCTCATAGTTGCTGACGGCTTCACATATGAATCCCCCTCCCTGAAAGGAGCTTATTGTCTGTGCACTTAATGTTCACCAGACTAAGCCATTAATTCACCTTCCTAACTTCAGTCTGGAAAAGGAAAATGTCTCACCATTGCCCAAACCTTTTTACACTGCTTCTAGACCTTCATGCAGAGATTTATACTCCCCTTCTCCTCTCTCCAAATACCATTCCTTTATTCCTTTACAGATCTAACAATTTAATTCTTATTTTGTTTCATCGATCAAGACACTGTATTCTTCATGAGAATAGTGGGCCATTTATCGCAGTTTAGTCTCATCCTTAATATCTCTAAATATCAATGGTTTCAGTTGGTTAACAACTCATAATTTTTATTGCCTTGATTCTTCTTGTTTCAGCTGTACTGTAGCTTAGAGTGAGCACATGGAAAACTTCCTGCATTGGTTTGTAGTTAGTTATTTTAATTTGTTTATGGATCGCTCTATTTAACACAGAGCTCAGAAGCCCTCTTATTTTGCAACACCTGAGAGATGCCAGCTGATATTTTCTGTACTGTACTGTTCTATGATTCTAATAATCCAAAGTCCTCCCCAAATCGGTCAAAATATAGGAACCACAGAGTAAACAGTTTTCAAATCACCCACAAGATATCATTCATTGTTCCATATAAATTTTTTTTTAACTTTCTCATCTAACAAATATCATACCCTTTTCCTTTACGGGTTCTGGTCTTACTTCACCATATTTTTCTCTTCATCGCTTTGCTTTTCATACTGACTCACTAGGAACCAAATATCTCAGTAGCAACTAAGTTTGGGCCCTGTATGCCTTGGCATCTCTCTATCCCTGGCACTTTCATTGTATTTCTCCTAAACGAAGTCACATGTCTTCCAGCATTCTGGCACCAAGGTAGAAAACATAACTTTCCCATTTTTATACATGGTGGACACATTTGGTGATTTGAACTTCTGGCTCTTTCTTTAGAAGACTGAAACTACTCCTGAAACAAACCATCTGATGGAGAAAGAGAGATGGGTAACTCATGCTTGGTTGTGAAAGCAAAGCTCGGTGTCTGGAAAGAAATGGATCCTCTTTCTCTTGAGTCTGTCACTCTATGTCTTCCATGGTGAATAAAATTTGAAATGAGGACATGAACGTAAGAAACCCTTGAAGACTACTTCCAAAACTGCCACTCAGCATTTTCCCACAACATCATTGATACTGCATGAATAAGTGAGAAATAACATTGCCCCACTTGAAGAAGGAAGTGTTCCAAGCAATCTGGATACCTCCAGAACTACTGTGGTTCAACTGCAACTGAAGGTGGGATGGACACTGGTGGATTTGGTGACATCTGCTGAGCAGAGTCTTACCTGCAGAGATACCGAACAGAGTAAATGCTAACAGTGTGACTACAGCCTCTTAGGAAGGGTTTGTAAGATTTTAGGGACTTGGCCTGTAAGAGTTTGGGATCCGTTCAGAATGGGTTGAGCAAGAGCCAGTGAAACTTGGATTATACCTTTGTTATTTGTATCTATATCCAGAAGGGTCCTTGTATGTTCCAAAATATCAGATAGCTGGAAGAAATAAGAACTGTTCTCTTTACATGAATATAAATAGAGAAAAAGCAAAAGAGCCCACTTGTCTCCACTATCACACACAGAAATGCTATTCCAGGAACTGGGGAGTATTTTTAGTTTTCTCACTATCTTCCTTTGAATAAAGTGCAATGGAAAACTTATCCATGATATATATGAGGTTGGAGTGTTAAAAGCAACTGAAGGGATGAGGAAGTCTGAAAAAAAAATAGAAACAGAAATGGTGCTTGTCCTACATATTTGTGACACCCACCAGTTCCCAAAGAGATTTTACATACATTATCTCATTTCGAGCTGGAAGGACAAGTCAAGATCACCCAACCAACCTACAGAAGAAAACAGACCTTCAAAAGATAAATCCACACTGATGATTCATTCTCACCCTAAAGCCAATGAAAATGGATGGGAGAGGAAGGGATGTTTTTTCAGGGAGCAGAGTGTTTCAATCCAAAAAAAAAAAAAAAAAAGAAAAAGAAAAGACAAAAAGGGAAATGCTGTAGAAAAATTATAGAGAGAATGTGTCCAAGAACAATGAAATTATTCTGAGAGTTTTAGTTACCGAGGGACTAATGTGTTTATGTTGTTCAATTGTCAATATTGTATCTTACATCATAGGCTCACTATACTTAGCAGTTAGTGCATTTTGAATACTGGAATTATGAAAGTTATGTGTCCAGGTTCAGAAGCCAAGTAGTAGCATCCATGAAGTTAGGAAAAACACTGTGAGCCATGCAGGATGGCACCTGAAAAGACATATATATATCAATTAGTAGCTACAGGACCCCATGATCTTGGTGAATTGCAATAATGTGGAGACTGGAAACAATGACGAATTCCTAATAACACCTGTCATGGAGTCTATTCATAATTAGACACACTCAGATATTATTTGCGAGAGAAAGTCTTTGCCCTTTATCCATATTCTTAACAGGCAGATTGTACAAGTACAGAAACTTCCAATTCACCTTTTGGCTTCTTTCTGAATCTGGTAGTCAAGAGATTCCATCTACAGCCTCAGAAACACCTGCCAAGTCTTAACTTCCAATAATCTACATTGTAAACATGAGTGTTTGCATGAGACATATCTCGTCACTGTTTTATGAATGTCAATATCCTTGCATAGGATATTTGCATAGTCTGTCTCTATGCATAGAAAATGTACTCCTCATGTTCGCTGTCATTTACCTTTCCTATCCAGTATTCCCTTTCTTTAAGGCATTGACTTTCTAGGCCTACACTAAGGCATGAATGCCAAATCTACCAGTCTTTTGCCCTCTGAAATTATTCCTCTTTCTACTACACATCAATATGATATCAATGAGAGATTTGTTCCATTCTAAAATTCTACTCTTTGAAATTGTATCTTTGTAATGGTTTTCTCTACACAAGAAATTAAATTAATGTTAATTGATGCCAATGAGGTGATGAGTTACAAGGCTGAATTTGGGAATTTAGGATTAAATAAATATGATGTAATATTATGACTTCTCATAGTGTCAATTTACTGTACTCTACTGGGAATGCAAAGATAAATGGCAGTGTTCAGATCAGCATGTGTTCTCTTACAAAAATGAGTTGTTTATAATGACGATGATACTCAAGGTAGACTTAGGAGAATATCTCTGACCATTTTTGCTTTTGAGAAGCCCTGGGCCGCGACTTGGGTGTTTCACAGAAAGACTACAGTAGACAATGCTTAGAGGACAGCTGCCTCTCTCTTCCTTATAAAAGAATGGTAAAAGCAGCAGAGCCTCTCATGTTCTAAAGAACAGGAAACAGCCTGCATTTCAATGCCCTCCCCTATGGAGGGCTCCAGAATGCACCACCAGGAGAGACATCCCTCTACTTTCTCGTCCTTCCCTTAATATGATGATCCCACAGAAACAAGAAAAAGGAAAAGGTGTCATAGGCAACTGAGACACTATGCCCCAACTCCCCAGTTAGCTCTCAACTTCTTAATCAGACCAAAAAATAGGTGATGAAATTAATTTCTAATGGAGTATGAGAATAATGTTTAGATTGCCAATTTAAAAACCTTAAGATGAAAACATTTTTTTAGGTTCATAAGACTTATACTATTATATGTGGCTGAGATAGACTGATTTTAGGAAATTTTAGCCTGAATATTTTGAGTATTTTTTTTCTTCTCTTTCTTGAGTTTGGCTTAAGTACTACATTTGTTACAAGAAGTATAAAAGTCAGTAAGATATTAAAAGTCTGTGCATTGGACTTAGAGCCTACTTTGAATTATCCCAAGATATTATCATTTCTCAGAAAGCTCAGCCAAAGATTTTAGTTTCCTATCACCGTAGCCGCCATGGCTCTCTACATATGAATCCTGATGGAACATCATGGAATCTAAACCTTTACAACAGAAAATTCTGAACCTAGGTTTCCAATTTTATTCTGTTCATATTTATATTTTTATGTTTTACCTTGTGTTTTTGCATTTTTATTGTAAATTATGGTGAATTATTTTTAAAATTGGTCTTGTTGCTTTAAAAGGAGATAAAGAGAGACAGATGATAGATGATAGATGGATAGATAGATAGATGATAGATAGATAGATGGATAGATAGATAGATAGATAGATGATAGATAGATAGATAGATAGATAGATAGACAGACAGACAGATATAGGCCTGATATCATCAAAGAAGGTGGTAGCAAAAACATTTTAGCAACAAAATATTTATAATATAATTGCAACTGTAAACCATTTTGAAATATTTTACAGTACTGCTTTTACTTTAGAAATGTATACTAAGAAAGAGAGTCTAAGGGACCTTTCTCTCCTAGACTCTAGAAGACTATATCAGTAAGGTATAACACATTTCAGGGACTCAGAATAAAGACAGAAGCTTCCAGACAGGAGGAGAAGTATATTGTGGACTCTGTGCTTAGAACTGCGACTAAAACATGGGACTCATTTACCATCCACTGGCCAAGCCTCCAACTCTCAGATACAGATCTCAACTGTATCTCTGAAACAGTTTCTTCTATTTTAGTAAAACTTTCAAAAATTGATTCTAAGTGTGAATTGACTAGCTTTAATGGCAAAGATTGGATAAACAATTTCAATGCCTCTAAGCTGATATTTCCCCAAAGT